ACACCAAGCCAAGGGTTGAGATCCCCTTACTGGTCATCTTTAAAAAAAAAAAAAAAAAAAATGAGAGAAAACTCAGGAAGATGGCATATCTACCTACCTGAGACCTCTTGGTGTCGCTAGGCAGAAGCAAACTGCCTGTATTTACATTAAATGTCCTGGTCTTGGTTTTCACTGGTTCATTTGTTTCCCGATAGAGCCTCACAGGAGGAGGCTTGAAAGCCTTCTGGACCAAGTTATAAATGCCCACAGTGAGCGCTATGTCTTTGCTGAGCTTAAGCTTTAACCTGAGGGACAGAAAAATGAAAAAGCATGGACTGAAAGACTACTTTCCTATCTAAAATCCCTTCATGGCACCCGAGCTATTGTTTTATTCTCTCCAATAATCCTAAGCAAGCTCTTAGGATTTAAATATAATGCATTTTAATAATACAATGGAATTTGCTATAATACTAGCTAAGGGTTTAAACCACAAAAATTAGTTTCAGAATATATTAACTACTTAAAATAATGATAAAGATTGTACTATAATAAAAATAATGATAGTTTTTATTGAGCCAAGCACTATACCAATCACTTTATAGCTATTCTTTCATTTAATGGTCTTAATAACCCTGTAAGTATTGTACTGATTACGTGTTGTTCTTGCTTTTCTAGCATCCTTTCCCCCTTCTTTCAAGAATGAAACCTTCATTTTTGGGAGGGACTACCCTTCCCCTACTGCAGTTTTAGAATGTTAATTAATCAAAGTGCTGTGCTCACCCCTGGCCAAGTGGTGGGCATATCTGACCCAGGCTTAGGTCATCAGACCTTCTCTCTGGGTAGTCTAGATTTTGAGCAGTAACCAAGGAAGGACATGTTTGGGAGGAAACTTTCTGATAATGGCACACCAAAGTCACTGTCATTAGTCCTGCAATCTATATACCTGGAGCCACCCTGGTTCCTATTTGATTTGAATATGCTAAAATTAGTCAAGGTTGGTTTCTGTTGCTTGCCACCCAAGGACCTTATTACTGTCATTTTATAAATGAAAACATTGAGGCTCAGAGATGTTATATAACTTGCTCAAAAACAGACAATTAATAAAAACTAGTATTCAAACTCAAGTACATCTGATTCAAAGCTCATGTATTTTTCCATTATGACATATTGCTCCAGAGTATTGACCAACATTTTAGGCAAACAGGCTTAGTGCACACCTGCAGAGCACTCGCTTCCTGGTCTCCTTGGCACGAACCTTCCTCAACAAGTCTTCTAGCTTGCTCGATTCCTCAAAGTGAACCCCAAGGTCCTCATCTTCTGCTATGCTGATGATATCTCTGTAGAACATGGATATGTCAAAGCCCCCATGTTTCTTTAGGTGCATTAAATCAAGGAAGATACCTGGTGCAAGGATACACAAAAAATGAGGGGAAAATAAACAATTTTCAGCAAATGAGAAGTTTTTTCAGTTTAACTCAAATATGTTTTTAAAAGTTCCCAAAAAA